AAAAGAGATACAAAACTACATCAATGCTGTTGGCATAATACTCGCTGCTCTGCCTAAGAAATATTGGAATGCAAATGAACACCATGGGTAAAATTGCGTGTTGTGTTTGGTATTATTTTCAAAGGGATGTGTATACATATATCCTCATTTCAGTGAGCCGCTGATGTGTCTTCAGTTGGTGCTGCCTTGAGTAAAAATTGTGAAGACAGCGAGCGCACTAAAATCGCTGCAAGAAATTATATATGACAATGCAGACAAATCGGCGTCACTTACTAACGAGGAAACAGCGGAAACAAAGATGAGGAATTTGCAGGGTGAGTTGAGTTTAGCGGGAAGGTTAGTACCTTTTTAAAACTCTTATTACTTTCTTGTACGTAGATTGCATAGAATATTTGGCCAAATATCGGCACTGAAAGCACAAAAATCACAACGAAAAACAACCACGCCAAAGAGGAGTTTTATGTGCCTAGTCAAGCATTTTTAACTTCGCTAATACAAATTTTCCCAGCCATTTTCTAGCACATACAACAAAGGTGATGTAAGCCATAAAATATCAGTGAATTCAATTTCTAAAAAAAATTATTCCAGATTTATTTAATCTGACTTTGTGCTGAGGAATGGGGTCTGCATACCCGTGCAAACTGATGCCGTTCCCTATATAATGTTGTCTCTGTCGGATTCATTGCTAACGCCATTAAACGATGGCATACTCGATTGTATGGATCTCATACAAAAGGTATTTTATTGTATTTAGCTACATTTCAACTATAAGAAAATTATTTTATGACATATATATATATACAATAACAATCGCAAAAGTTTATTGGTAACAACTGCGGGGGTAAATGAGTCATTGAATTCGAATGTCTTCACTGGGCGCTTGGCGGTTACTGCTTTACTACATCGATTCCAAGAAGTTTTGAAGCGTTCCAATGACGACGAACGGCTGATGGGCGCCGTGCAAGGGTCACAGTAGCTCATTCCGGGGTATTGATCGTAATTATCAGTGAAGTGCACGGCTTCCAAATGCGCATTAAGTCAATTCAAGAACCAGTTTGATAACAAAGAAGTATCATACCACAACATTACCGGCACCCTGACTCTTATTAAATAAGTACCAAATAAGTAAAGACATATCGTCTACCCGATATTACTTACAGTGGTCCACGAAATAATAGGAATGCGATATTTTAACAACTATTACTACACTTTTCGAAATTTAAAAAGTTAAATACGGCATTAATTGTAATTCTTTCCTGTAAATTTGTTGGGGAAAGAAAAAACAACAAAAAAAGCGAAAGTAATGCCGAAGTTAACTTATACTATTTCGGAAAATTTAGTGCTAACTTGACACACGTAATAACATGGTTCTTTTGAGTCACAACAA